GTAATTCATACATTTCCTTAATTTTGTATTAAGAAATAAACTATTTTTCGGGTCGCGAAATAAATTTATTGTTTGTAGAACGAGTTTGTAAAATCACACAACTAAACCTGTTAAAGAAACAATAAAAGGATTATTCTATGTACTTTGTCGATAATTAGTATTCAGTTCTTTTGTTAAAATTGAATCGGTGTACCGTGTCGCAATTGGACAAGCTTGAGTAAGCTCATGACGTCATAGCGTCAACTTGTTTTCCAGTAGCCTCGTTTTGAATTGTGACGTCACTTCCTCCATCTGCGTGACTTATGACGTCAGTTCCCTAGAGCCCCTGACCCGTAGCGTGACGTCTTACGTCACGCTTATTGTTTGTTAGGGCTTGGACCAATCAGCGTTCGAGATCCTCCCATCCTCCCATCCTCCCTGGCGTAGAACGCTCACTTTATATCTACTCTAGGCCACCCATGCCACCCTATTAATTATTAGTTATTTAAACACGTGAACGTTGTCCTGACCATGTGCGTTCTCTAGCGACGTGTTCGTGCTTTCAAGGTGAGTTGTTGTACTTTTATCGCAATACAATGTTTTTAAATTATTTTGTGTCTAGAACTAGACACAAATTTCTATCCATTTGCAGTCAAATTTGTATTTCTAAAAACATATTTCAGATTTTGGGGCGCTTTATGTGGTTTGTTTGCTAACAAGTTTGGGAACAAGTAATTGTCTTAATACTGGATTGTAGGTCAATCAGTTAATCAGTCATTTTTCCGTCAAAACCGCACAGTTAGCCAGACAACAAAATCACACAGTTAGCCAAACACTTTTTCGTCGAAATACATAAGTTAAACAACTATTTTTTTCGTCTAAGTCGAACTGTTAGCTAGGCACTTTGCCGTCTAAATTGACCAAAAACCAGACACCTTTCTGTCTAAGTCGGACAGTTGGTCAGAAAAGTCATCTTATTAAGTCCGTTAGGTAGACACGTCTGAGTCCATTAGGAAACCAGACAATGTCGTCGTCTAAGTCAAAGAGTCAACTTTGCCGTCTAAGTCATTCAGGCGGCCATGACAATAGTAGTCCTGACAGCAAGTTATAGTCTAGCTGGCTTAGTCGCTTATTAATATTTAACTGAGCTTTTGTATTATTCAATGCTAGAGTACAAACACTAAAAGAGTCAAAAGAATTAGCATATTTTAGCAGTATTTAGTGGTATTTATGTTGCACAGTTCCCTTCCTTCCTTATGTAATCCATCTGTTGACGTTGAAACGTTAGTAAACATTTATCTACATAATTGACATTGTTCATTAATATATTGTTTTATCTAATCTAACTACAGCAATATGCAGAAATTATGGTCCATTTTGCTCATACTTCAAGTATAATATAAAATATATCAGAATTATGGGATGTCATTTCCAATATGTGTTTTAGATCTATTCTAGATCTCTATGTTTCTATTAAATCTCTTATGCCTGAGTCACATGCAGTACAGTCATACGAAATCCGGTCTAACTAACGAAGAAAAGTCAACGACGAGAAGTTGTGGGAAAGGCTATTATTTTTCTTTCAAAACGATCCTTTTGAACTTTCTTCTATTTTGATGGCTTATTTGGCATTTTAAAGATGGATTTATGACTTTTTTATATAAATTAACTTGAGCGCAAATAGATACGCAAAATACAGACCATGCCATGCGCATGTATTAAACTGTACAATAATAATTAGCACAACAGATAGATTGCAATTACTGATATTTTATTTCGCGAATATCTTTTTTTTTTACTATCTTTGGAAAGCAGTAATCACGTGCATGACGCCAGAACTGGATATGGACAACCCATTCTCTTCATTATTGCGTCACATGCTGGACTACAACAATATTGACCTTCGTGTTGGTTTATCTCCACAGTCTGACCCCCTATCACTTTTTTAATGCCTACATTCACAAAGAAAAAAGAAATTAAAAAAAGAAAAGAAAAGAAAGTAGAAAAAGAAAAGAAAAGAAAATATTTGAGAGGGTCAAAATGGGGTATAGTGTTAAGTGTTATAAAGTCTTATTTTATAGTGTTTAGTGTTAAATTGCTCTTTTTTTAAATGTTAGTGTTCTTTGAAAAATTACTTTTTAGTGTTCGGAGCATACCTACATGTACCTATGTACTACATTTCTGTCCAATTTTGATAATAAATAGCTAGACAAGAGAAGAAAGAGCAGAAACTGAGCAGAAAAGAGCAAATCACTATTGTGGACCACGCAGTTTTGAGGCGTGGGACGAGCCTTGAGCCATATGCCCGAGATTTTTCTATTATGTGGTCAGCTGACGTGACACACGTGACTTTTGTAAACATGTTAATTCGCTTTTTTTTTGTTTGAATACACGTTAGGGGCGAACCAGACGTTCGAGGTGGGGGGCATGCTGGCATGTAAGGTTTTCAAATTATGTTGTTTATAGTATGTTTGATACTTAAGGTATGACAACTGGCTAAGCGTTTGAAAAATACCCAACGTTTTTAACGTTTGGTAGGCTATTTAAGGCATAACTAAACTCTAGGTTATGTTTTCAATTATGAAAAAGTTCGATTTCCACTTAAAAACTAATCGAGAACTTCGTATTTAAGAAGAAAATTGCTTTATACAGGTCATATAGGATATTAGGTTCCCGTTTAAACTGATGTTTAGTTGTTAGCAAAATAACTGTTACGGCTTTTTTCTTAGTGTTATAAGGCCTGAAATCTTAATAGTTTCGTGTTATAGAGGCCAAAAAATAGCGTTATGTGTTATTAAGGCACCCCATTCAGACCCTCATTTGCTATTTAGTCTGTCAATGACACTGGATGAATATAGATTTGAGAAATCAACAATTATTCAGACAAATATTTAATTATTTGACGGATAAATACTTACAACGTCTACCACCATCATTTTGCTTCTCTCCTTTTTGCTGCGAACTTTTGTGTTTGTCTGCAACTGGCGCAGATATGGCAGCGCTGCAATCAATTTTACTCTTTTCTAAATTGATACCCACGCTTTTCAGCTCTTTCATTTCTTGTGGAGTACAATTCACAGCTTGTCGGCGAGCTTTGGACAAAAACAAATGAAGTAAGATCACATTTTTGTTATCTCAAGGATTTCTTGAAAAAGGCATGATAGCTATTGCGTGAGTTTTCTGATGTAAGCTAACATGTCGAATAATAATAATAATAATATATGATTAATTATGGTATCATTATTAGCAGTACAGCATCACGCATCCGGGATATCATATTTCTGGGTGCATTCAATTCTTCGTTTCATTGTCATCACAGTATAAAACAACGAAATTAAAAAAATTCTCATTAGTATTTGTTGTTTATTCCTTAAACATGGCTGCCATGTTTTATCTTTTGAATCTGACGGGAATGGTTGAAAGCGTATTTTTAAAGATGTTTTGGTATATATATTATTATCAAAAAAGGTCGTAACGGATGAATGTTAGGCGATGACCCTTGATTTCATTTATTTCCTTAATTATGCTTTGCTAGAGAAGTACAAATCTAGTGTTTGTTTCTTTGAAGCAAGCTTACCATGTTCTCTTTTCTTCGAGTTCTTTTAAGTTGATTCACGCATTGCAAACGCGTAAGTATAACTATTTCTTAGGGACTGCGCAATATTTATCTAATGTCTAGAACTCAACATTCTTTCTGTGAATTTAAAAACCGTTTGTTTTGAAAATGAGTTTGTTGTTGTCTTTTTGTCTTACAAGTGAACAACGTTAATGGTTCGTCGTTTCTTATTGTTGTAGTCGTCGTTGCTGTTGTTGTGCTTACACTTAGACTTCTGCTGTTCGTATTGTGAAAATTGGCGTTGTTTCTTACGTAACACGATGGCAAGACACGGGTGTTTTTTCTCCCGTTTGCTTTACAGAAATTCGTACAATGATTTAAATGTAACGAAACTTGGCACGAAGATAGTTTCGAGGTAGACAAGTTAGTATAGCAATTCTATTTTCACTTTGATTGGCATGATGACGTCATACGCGACGTCCAACTATGGCAGTAAACTCTAAAACTTTGATTTGGATTTCAAAAGTTATCTAGATGTTTTGTACGATCACAACATTGCATTTTAGTAAAAACTCCACCCAAAATCGTTAAATGGTTCAAAAGTTATCGAAAATTACAGAAATTTGAATTTCCCGCCAAATGCCCATATATGGTCAAAATTAAGGAGGTTTACACGCACACCAAAACAATCCAATTCGGATGGAAACCAAGTGATTGCTACTTTATATCAAATTTGTAGTTTTTTTGATTTTAGAAGTTTGGTGTCACGTGACATATGACATCATTTGTCAATCAACTTAGCCTGTATTTTCGAGTCTGTGACGTCATATGTCACGTGACATACAACTTTTAAAATAAAAAAAATTACAAATTGTCTATAAAGTACCAATCACTTGGTTCCATTTTAATTTGATTAGGACGTCATCTTGTCACTCAAAATCAAAACAGAAGTGGCAATAAAACTTCTTTCGTTAAATTTGGATCATTGTACGAATTTCTGTAAGGACATATATACCGAATGGCAGAAAAATCGCCATTGAACAGTCAATATTACATTTCTTCTGTAAGTGTGGATGGTTCGATTTTTTAATTGTACTAGTGCTTTCATTTGTTGTAGGGCGAAACTCTTTTCAATACTCACATCGACTGGCAATCACGGTTGCCGCAAACATGCTGATCAGACAAATTGTCACTATCTTCTTGAAAATCATCTTTGGCTATGGACTTAAAAAAGTACAAATTAATTTTTTTCAGATGCAAAAAAGGGATATTAATTTTGTAGTTTTCATTTTTATAAAGGGTCGTTCATTATTGTTTTGAAAATATATAATATAATTAGCAGCAAAGCATCACCAAAACCAAGTTTTTTTAATGAATTTGTATGGTTAAGCAAGCGATTTGTGGAATCCAGTAATCAATGTTAAATTTCTTTGAAATGAAATAGTAAAACAAGTGAAAATCTGAAATAGGATGAAAGAAGAAAGATTATTTTGGTATTTACGATAAAAAGAACTCGTAAAATTGCCCTACAAAAGCCAATAAAATGCCCTGCAAATATAATGCAACATTAGTGGATCATGGCCGGCAATTCTTCAGATAATTGGCGAGAATTTATCAAGACAAGGATACATTCCACTAGTTTATTTTTACAGAATACAAAATCAAATCTTACTAACCTTCGCTGGTGAGTGTTGATGGATCCTCGTGTTAAAAGCTGAGAAAGACTACTATAAAAGTCCTGATGAATAAGATAGGTGTTTTCACTGTTGTATATAAGGCCCAACAAAATCCAGTAAATTTACGGGTTCAATACTTCCAGTGACAGCTTTTAAACATCAGCTACATTTTTGTAATATCTTCCATGGCTAAGATTGGACCAGTTGATTCTTCTTTTTCATGTCTTTTAAGCTGTATTTTCCGCCAGCTCGCACTCACGATGTTTTATTTACTATCCATAACCTTATAGAAGTAATAGAAATCTAAACTGAAAAATAATTTCAAGTGTTTTATGCTATTCTTATATGTCTTACATGCCAACTAAAAGAGGCAACACTTTGCACTATTTACTATAAAATAGTGCTAGTTAAGCAATAGAAAACAATAGAATTAACATAATTTAGCAGTATTTAGTGGTATAGTATAGAATAGTTTTAGTGTTTGTACTCTATCGAGACATAACGTTAAATCTTTTAGAATAAGTTTTAAAATGTCGGTCCTGCTGAATAGGATCAATTCAACCGCCCTGTGGTTACTGGCTCACAAATTATCAGTCACAGCTAATGCATTTGTATGTCTGTTTCATAAACTTTCATAGATAAAGAAGGTTTTCTAATATCAAGTTTGGAATTTACACAGTATTTTGGTAAATCTCGTTGATATATTGACATCTCAAAAATTTCTCTTTGTTTCTATTTTCCAGGAACACGCCCTCTACCCGCTACTTATTGTTGGTACCATGTGATTGTAGCTATTTATAATTTTTGAAAATCTAARTTAAATCTTCCCCAGAACGTCTATGAAACCTTTTTCCATCAAAACAAGATCACATATAACTTAGGCCGAAAGCTCGGTATTAAAAATATCACTAGTAAACGCAGAGGACTCATTTATTTTTAGAAATTATGCTTGCGTACAAAGAAATTCTACACATATAACTTGTTCCGATTGACAATCACAGAAGATTGAGATTCATATTTATCACTTTTTTTCTAAAAAAAAAAAAATGGAATTTTATTTTAGAAGTTTTATTACCTTTTATGCATACTCATACGAAATCCACTCTATTTTCAAGTACGGTCGAATGGACTATCAACTAGCTCGTAGTCCACTCGATGTCGTAGCGGTCTTATTGAATATTTCAATTAAAAGTAGTCTGTACGAGTCCCTGATCTCTTGATACATTTCAATTCCTTTTACTGGAATCCAATTTTTTAAAATGCATTGCAGATTTAGTTTTGCCCTACTAAATAAACAATAAATGGTTACTGTGCCTTACGATATAAATAACTGTTCTTGCACGAATTTTTTCCTGAGAAAGGGATTTTGAACTGCATTGTTGACCATATCACAAGCAAATGTGACGCCCTTCATTCTTTAAAATAATTTTGTTCCTGGGAAACGTTTTTTAGATCACATTTTTTTCAATTATAGGCACTCGTGACTCGATAAAATCAAATCAAATGAAAATACCATACAAAAATCTCATAAATAGAACGTCCAACAATTTATATATAATACTATTTATAAATATCTGCATAGTAGTATAATGGTAATGTCATTGTCATTTGTCATTTTTTCTTGAAAATTCCACACCAGAACAAATTTTAGGATGAATATATTGAATGTTTTTGTATTGAGTTTTCCCAGCTAGTTATAATCCACCAGTACGCTTTCTTTCTAACGTAAACATGGAGTAGGCCTGATGCTTGACAGATCCTACGGACTTGTTGAGAATTTTCAATCCGTCAATTCATTTGATTAATGAAAAATCAGGATTAGAATTAGCGGGAATCGAACCCTTTGCTATAATAGTTCAGATGGTTCAGCTCTCAGGTCAGTTGGTAGTTCATTGCATTAGCATTGCAAAGGTCAAGGGTTCAATTCCCGTTCTATGCCTGACGTTTTTCATGTGAAGTGTATTATTTCTTTGTCTTTATTGACTCTCTATCTTCACATCATTCCCATTTCAGCTTCAACCTTTTCAGTAAGTAACGGAAGTATCACTCGTATATTCAACAGCAATAAAATGTTTTGGGTCGTCACAAAAATATTTCCACATATCATGAATCGTTACGCTACTAGCTCATGATTCTTGATGAGGTCTGATAGGTGGGTAATCATGACATTAAGACAATACATGAGTTGTAAAGATTTATTGAGCAGTTTCTGCACTTTATGTCAAGAGTCATTTTCTAGCATTCAATGAACTTTGGCTTGATACAAAACATATGCTTTGCATATCTGTCGCAGCTAGGGCTACAGCAATATTGGCCTTCGTATGGATTTACTTTTATTCCATTCGCGTCAATGATGCCTATCAAAAAATAAACAGAACAAAACAAACAGATTAGATAATAGATACGGGGGAGGGGATGTATCAAAGACCTTTTTCACTAAATTAATGTTAATTAAATTAAATAGTGCTAATACTTTGATTATTATTAGCTATTAGTAGTTGGAAACAAAGTAGAAATAGCTGGAAATAATGTAGAAGTATCTGAAAATAAGGTAGAATACAAGGTAGGAGTACTTCCTCTGGTTTCAAGTTACTGCCAGTGGTACAAATTACAATCAGGGATTGGCTGGATGCCTCATGAATAATTACTGAGTATGACAACAATAAGCAAAATACGAAATTTACAAGATTACAGCTAATAGTTGGTCGACATTCCAAAAATTTCGTTACATTCATTCTAATATTCTCTTCTGGATAAGATACTTTTTAAATATTTATTAGTCCATCAAAATTCTTCATAACCTAAATATTTCAGAAAAGCAAACTACACAGGCTTATGATGTACTTAATTGATGTGCAATCCTTTAAAACAATCACTTCTCTGTAATCTATTCAAACAAAATCTTTTTATTTTGAAATGAAGTCAATGAAATGATCGATCGATTTACTTACAGTTAGTATGGCTTTGGTCCTTGTGAGCTTTGACCTTGTTGTGATGCCTGCTGTTTTTGTCTGCCCTAGATCTACCAACACTACAATCAATTGTACTTCTTTCTATGTCGATACCCATACTAATTAGCTCTTGAATTTCTTGAGGAGTGCAGTTAACTACCTGTCGGCGAGCTTCAATCAAGACAAAACAAATATTGCAGTTTTATCAAATTTGAATTTCTCAAAAGATCAAGTGACGGTTTTGATACCATTTCGTTTTGGGTAGGCTACCCTCCTCCGCAGACAACACTTCATTTTTTTGGGATTCTTCTGGTATCATCTTTGCCGGACCACACAGTCTCCCTTGGTCATATTGAGGAAGACAGGAGACCCAAGAGTAGAAAGAAGACCAAAAAAAAAAAAAAAATGGAGATGGCTGCTGCGGAGAAGGCTAAAGGATACGGTGAGAAATCGAAGTTAAATAATTCCCGTTGAATTTAATTTCTAAAATAACCATTAAGTTAGTGTTGTTGGTTCGATTTTTTTATTGTACTAGTGTTTCTATTAGTTGTAGACGAAACTATTTTCAATACTCACAGCGACTGGCAATCACGCTTGCTGCAAACATGCTGATCAGGCAAATGGTCACTATCTTCACGAAAATCATCTTTGGCTATGGACTTAACAAAGTAGAAATCAATTTGTTTAGTTGCAAAAAAGGTTAAAGGGTCGTTCATTATTGTTTTGAAATCACATCACCTAGAACAATATTCTCTATAGTTTGATTAGTCCACAAAATATATAATATAATTAGCAGGAAAGCATCACATCTCACCAAGAATAAGTCTTTTTTTTATGAATTTGTATGGTTAAGTAAGCGATTTGTGGAATCCAGTTATTAATACTAAATTTCTTTGTACTAGAATAGTAAAAAGTAAAACTTTGAAATAGAATCAAAAAACTTGGTTATTCTGGTATTTACGATATCAAAAGAACTCGTAAAATTGCCATACAAAAGCAAATGTATTGCAACATTAGTGGATCATCCAAGTCTTCAGATAACTAAGAATTAGCGAGAATTTATCAAGACAAGGACACATTCCACTAGTTTTTTCTTACAGAATACAAAATTAAGAAAGCAAACATCTTACTAACCTCGATCCGTTGGTGAGTTTTGGCGGATCCTCGTGTTACAAGCTGAGAAAGACTAATGCAAAAGTCCTGATGAATAAGATAGGTGTCTTGTATATAAGACCAAACAAATCGCCAGTAAATTTACGGTTCACTACTTCAAGTGACAGCTTTTAAACATTAGCTACATTTTTGTAATATCTTCCATGGCTAAGATATCCGGAATTGAAACAGGTGATTTTTCATTTTCTTGTTTTTAAGCGATATTTTCCGCCAGCTCGCACTCACGATGTTTTATTTACTATCCATAACCTTATAGAAGTAATAGAAATCTAAACTGAAAAATAATTTCAAGTGTTTTATGCTATT